CTTGGGTGAAGGCTACAGGGTCTTGAAAATTTTGACATGAAAGTTGCAATTTACTTCACCAGACATTTTTGTTTGTTTTCCCATAAACAGTTCTCTATCACCTCTCCTTACACTTCTTTCTTTTTCCATATATATATATATATATATATATATATATATATATAATATAAGACCTTTGTTTAGGGTTTAAACATGCAGAAAGGAACAGGCATAAGCCTCCTTTGGTTCTAAGATGTGCACTGAAGCTTACCTAAGGCTCTCATGACTATGGTATTAGATTTATAAATTTTACAGCAGGACCCTTTGTTCAGGAAAAATAGAGATTTTTTCAAGCATTGAGCATAAGCTTTTATTCTGTGTTTCCTCCATTTTCTTAGTAGAATATTTTCTTTTTATGTTCTTTTATTTCCTTTCTTTTTTCTACTAACACCTTTACTAAGAACTGGAGCTGGCATTATTTTGAAAATTAAGGTAGACATAAACCTGTCTAGGAAGAATTTATTACTATTTAATTACCAGTCAGTTACTATATAGTCAGTTACTATATAATGCAATTACTATTGCATTATAGTATGGTAAAGTCAGTATGGTAAAGCAGCCTGTAAAGAGTCAGAAATATAAACTACAGGCTATCGTATTTTACATGCTGGAGTTTACTTTGAGGCTAACAGTAAGTAAATGCAGAAGCAGGCTATCTTCCCTAAATGGTCATTCANAAACAAGAGGTTTATGCTTTGTTTTTTAAACAAATCTATAGGCTATGAAATGCCCTTTATTATTAATAAAGGTTAGAGTAAAATTTGGCTCTCAAATTCTAGTAGCCCAAAGAAAAGAAATAGAACAGCTGCACACTCACACTGAATATTGGAGCATTCAGAACTGAAGCTTCTGAATAAAGGGCAGTGTTTGTCACAGACTCTTCTGTTCATGCTGGCAAGACCAAAGACTTGAAACCACTGATCCTCAGTTTCTTTATCTGTGTGATGGGCATAACACTATCGTGCACCTTAAAGGTTGTCAGAAGAATCAAATTCTGGTATTAAACAAATACATTTTGAACTCACTTCACTGTATTCTGTAAAATGCTCTGGTTACTTGAGATCCCACAGAAAACAAGATAGGCAGGGGTCTGAGAAGTTATAGTGATTACATTCTACTTCATGCTGAGTGAGAGATGGTGGCAGAAAGAGACAAGTAATAAGCATACAAATGAAGTTATGTCAGTATCACAAAGATGTCAGTTTCACCCAGATTTATTAATCATTCCAATAATCATATCAACAGTACTCTTTTTCAAGTAATCAAGCTGATTTTAAGTTCATATGGAAAAATAAAGAAACCCTAAATAGCAAGAAAAATTTTGAAGGAGAACAATAAAGAGAGGGATTACCCTGATGTATTTTAGAACAATTTTGTACCTAAAATAGTTGATATAGTGTAGTGTTAGGGAATGGACAAAGGTAAATCAACATGACAGACTAGAAAGTTGAGATAGAGGCCCATAGGCACCTAGGAATTCAGTGTTTGATAACAGAGTTATTTTAAATCAGTGGGTGAAAAAATGGAGTATTCAATACATTGAATAACTGGGTAGCCATTTGGGAAAAAGTTGATACATTCATCATAGTATGAAGGGAAAATTTTAGTTTCTGCCTAAATTAAATGTTACTCTCAAAATATTGGTAAAGAGGGGTGGAGGTATATAATATACCTTATACTGCTGCTTTGAAAGATAGCAGTGAAAAATTATATCAACAAAAACTTAAAATCCTCACTACTAGTTTTGGTTTGTTTCTTTATTTTTGTGAACATGCATTTCATTTTTAAAATCTGTTTCAGACACTCAAAAACATAAGAATATTATCATGAGCGTCCATGAACCTAGCATTCCAAATGTTTTTTATTTCAAATGTTTTTGAAGCCCATATATATGATCTCTGATTTACCTATCTTCTCCCTAGGACCTAGTTCACTAAATACCCTACCTAAGCTATTTAATTCTTCGAACATTTTATATTTGCTATTTCCCATGATGTCACTAAGCATTAGTTCTTGCATTTTCACTTTTAGCTGTATGGAATTTATTTATTTATTCACTCATTCGATCATTTAATTTTTGTATTTCTGATGGCCATTCGGTCATTAAGGTGTTTATTCCTATTTTTCTTTTCCATCAGCAAATACACCCAGATCCACCTTCAGAACATGCCCAGAATCTCCCCTGGCCCAAAGCCATCACCTTCTGGCTGGATCATCGTGATAAAGTCCTCACTGATCGTTGTCACTGCTTCAGTCTGTTCTCAGAACAATGACCAGAGGGATTTTTTTGCAAAATACAAATCAGAATCTTTGCAGATTTTCCCAATAAAGCCCAACATGATCGCAAGATTTAGAAATCCCTGTGTGACATGTTTCCCTGCCAGTTATTCCTCTGGCCTCATTTCCTCCTCCTCCCTCAACCCGGCGGAAAGGGATACCCTGCTCTTTCTCAGCCCCGGGGAAGCGCTTGCCGTTGCTTCTGCCTGAAACAGTCTTCTCTGCTATCGTTACCTCTCCCTCTTCTCAGGATTTTCACTTAGATGTCATTCTCTCAGGGAGGACTTCAATTATGCATTTATTTTCCAACCCACCCCTGAAAATTTCCCTCTCTTTTTTCTCCCTACTACTTACCACTTCCAACACATAATTTGCTTCATTGCCAGTTTTCCTCCCCTAGAGGCTTCAAGAAAGAAAGCATTTCTGCCCTTTTGTCAACTGCCTTAGCCTTGAAATCTAGAACTTTTCTTGGCACATCCCAAGTGCTCAATAAATATTTCATGTAGGAATTAATAAGTGAGACCCAGACATACCCATCAGTAGAAGATGGAGTGGCTAAGTTCCAACATTTCTCAAGCAATTAACATGAAGTTAAAAGGAAAAATTCTGTATATTTACAATTAGCTGAACTTAGAGACTCATTAAAAAACATTTGGTAAAAAGGTGCCATTATGAAATAGCATGAAGACAAGCAAGTGATTTAAGGAAATTCATTACAGTCATCCTTGTCCAAATCCCTCCTTTTCTGTTTCCTTCCAAGTTACCACATTGCATTTCCATTTCAGCTGCTGGAGTTAGATTTGTGATTCGCTTGAACAGCTCTTAGTGCCCTTATGAGACTATTATTTGACCCTATGCGCCTTTCAGTGCCAAACAAACCCTGATGAATTACTAGCACCTTCTCTCCTGTTTTCAGCCCTTTAAATGGATCCTGTCTTTGCCAAGCAGCGGTATGGTACATATCAAAGATAGCTTTGTTTTTATTTGTCAAAGGAAAGGTGTTCTCCACCAAGAACAGTCATTCTTAGGAAACAGTATGTAGCCATATGTATTCCATAGTCAAATGTGTTTTGTTTTATGTTTTCCTATTTCCAAATATATATTAATATTATAGAAAAAAAGGGTAAAGTTTTGAGAGTAATATTATTCATATTGTTGACTAGGAATTTTGAAAGTGGCTCCAAAATTCAGCAATGAAGAAGATATACCAGCAAAATAATAATGTAAACTAACATTTCCTGAAGATTACTACACTCCCAAAATCTGCTAAATGATTTATTTGTACTATCTCATTTAATTCAACCCAGTAACATGGATAATGTTTTGTTATGGAAGTAAAGTATCATAGAGAAGTTAAATAACTCACCCAAGATTGCAGAGTTAGGGTTCAGATCAGGCAGTCAGACTCCAAAGCCCAGGGTCTCAAGTCTTAAGCTTCCCTGATAGCTCAGTTGGGAAAGAATCCACCAGCAATGCAGGAGACCCCAGTTTGATTCCTGGGTCGGGAAGATCCCCTGGAGAAGGGAATGGCAACCCACTCCAGTATTCTGGCCTAGAGAATTCCACAGACTATAGGGTCACAAAGAGTGGGACAGGACTGAGCGACTTCCACTTTCACTTTCAAGAAGGACTGAAGTACACATGAAACATACCTGGAAAATATACTTTTTTTTTTAATTTATTGAAACTTTGAAAATGTTTATAAATGTTTTATCTCCCAGTAACCCTCCAAACAAAGCTCAGTTAAAAATATGATAGATATGACTTTAATCTGTGCAGAAACTATAGAGATTATGGTGAAATATTTTTGATTTTTATAAATGTATCTCATTTATTCTAGAATGTGTATTTCTTGTACTTAACACAGTTCATAAACTTTATTCACCAAGTGGAATTTATTGTACAAAATGGGAAATCGTTCGTGTATCTTCACAATAAATTTTGCATAAGTTGAATTTTTTATACATTTCTAAAGCCACTGAGCAGACTATTCTAGGGAGAAAAAAAAAGAAACTACATTTTCTGTGATAAACTTATCTTCTTTTTAAAAAGTACTTTTGGAAATCTCTTTCAGAAATTCTTTTATCACAAAACATATCTTTTGCTAACTTCTACACAATTGGGAGAACGCCATTGTTCTGATTTGGGCAGAAATAAACAGTATATATATATATATATATTTGCTTTTATGAAATCAAACTGATTAATTGAGATTATATATATATTTATAATTTTAAATACAAAGTAAAGTCAAAAACATACAGGGGCCAAGCAGTATTATAAATGGGATGAAGTGGGCTATGTTATTGAGACTATAAGACAGGATTATATAAAGGCTGTGCATGACATGATATACATAAACAAAGTCTAAAATTCAATTGCTACAACTCACTGGTTCATGATCACAATAAATGCTTTTATTAATTGGATTGTGAAATTCTTTTAACGAATTTGCCATTTATCAAGTGTCTATATTCTGTAGTTTTGAAATTCTTGTAGGTGTCTCGTTGCAAATGTTTGGTGATCACATCATCACTTCGAGCAGCACACAGATACTTCTTTGAACTGAGCTTGTTCCTCCCTGCAGTTGGGAAACTCTGGATTATGTAGGACAGCGGCTGTGCTTTGAGCCACACTCACTGTTTGTCTCTGTGCGTGTGTATGTGTGTGTGCTTTTGTTGCAGAGAAGGCCAGCAGTCACCAGAACAGTGGCAGAAAGTGTACGGCAGATGCTCTGGGAATGAAGTGTACCACATCGTTCTGGAAGAAAGCACATTTTTTGCTGAATATGAAGGAAAGAGCTTCACATATGCTTCTTTCCATGCGCACAAAAAGTATGTTTCCATCTCAGAATGGAATTAAAATTTTAATTTACATCCAGTTTTCCATAATGTAACCCATATTGGTGCTCATGTATTGGAGTATTTTTGAATTATCATCGTAATTATTGAGACATTTAAATTCTCACCTTTTGTTTGGTCTCTACAAGTTAAGATTCTTGGGTATAAAGTATAATTTAGTAGGAATATTGACTTTGAAAGTGAAAGCGTTATTCACTCA